AATAAATAATGAAAGCAGCATGATGAAACTTTTGAGACATAGCTAAAACAATCAGGAAATTATAGCTCTGAAAACAACAAAATAGGAAAAAAGATCAATAAATTGACCACATAATAGAATTAATCAGCATCTCTAACATTAGTACAAAGAAGAAATTTTGAGAATTAAAAAATTCAAAATTTGTAAAATTGAGAAATAAGGTTTTTTTAAAAAAGTGACAATTAGCTAACTTAATTAAGAAAAGGAGAAAGCAAAATCAGATTACTTGAAAACCAGGCGAATACAGGATAAGAAATGAATTGCTAGAGACTATTCCATACAATTCTATGTAAAAATTCAAAGAAATCTACCTATAAAAAAATAGAAGATGCCCAAACAAAATAAGAAAGCATGATGTAATCTCAGAAAAAAATCGAGCAACTCATAAATGAATTTCTAAAGAACTCTTCACCACCAAATGAATTTGCAAGTGAATTCGATCAAATACTTTTTAATAAAAATTAAAAAGCAATTAACACTGGTTCTACAAAGAGGCAGAAGGTATTCTACCCAACTCACTTGTCTCTAGTTATATCATGATGCCCAAACAAAAGAAAGAGCTATAGACTACTCACTAATAAATACTGATACAAAAATTTTCACAGGAAACAATAAAGATAGGTCCTAAAAATAATTGGACAAAATGGATTCCTACCAGGGTTACAGGGATGTTTCAACAATATAATTCAACAATGTTTCAACAATGTAATTACAAACTAAAAGAAAAATTATTTCAGTAGATGAGGAAAAAGCTTTTACAAAATGCAACACTGTGGGCAGCTAGGTGGCGCAGTGGATAGAGCACTGGCCCTGGATTCAGGAGGACCTAAGTTCAAATCCAGCCTCAGATACATAACACTTACTAGCTGTGTGACCCTGGGCAAGTCACTTAACCCTATTGCCTAGCCAGAAATAAAATAAAATAAACATGTCATATACGAAATGCAACACTTATAAACTCTAAAAAGCATTGGGACAGAAAAGATATTTTTTAACATGATCAAAAGTATATATTTAAAACGAAGAGTTCCATTGTTTGTAATAGAGAAATACTAGAAGCTTTCCCAGTACAAAAAGAAGTAAAACAAGGATGTGCTGAGCATTCTTCACTATTACTTGACAGTTCTGTACATGCTAGTTATCATAATTGTTGCACAACAAAAATGGTCATCACAGTAAAATGAGAACAAAATTAAAAGATTTTTATACAATCTTAACAAAAACCAGAAAGACATGATGAATTCCATTCAAAATAACTCAAAAAATGCATAATGTATCTGGGAGTTAAAGGGACACACAAAATTTATGGAACTTCAAAACTACAGAAAATAGTGAAGACAAATTTCAGTGTTAAATACTGTTAGGTGGTACCAACATAACGGCAGCAATACTGCCTAAATAATTTACAGATTAGTACCGCAACTAGACAAATCATTTCCAAGGCCTAGAATCTCTTTTTTTTATGTGTGTGAGGCAATTGGAGTTGAGTGACTTGCCCCGTCATTTGGGTGTTGATGTGTCTAAGGCCGGATTTGAACTCAGGTCCTCCTGATTCCAGGGCCATGCTCTTTCCACTGCGCCACCTAACTGCCTCTGTAAGGGCTAGAATCTCAAGGAAGACAATGAGAAAGATTATAAATAAAGGGGGCCTAAAATTAGCGGACGTAATTTTAAAAATCTGTATTTTAATTTAAAGCAATATTAGAAAAACTAAATCCGGTGAAGACACTAGGTCAACAAGAAATGTAAGCAATCAAAAACTGCATGGACGTCTTTAATAGACTCAAGAACATAACTGGAGAAAGGGCTGTATGAGAACTGGGTAAGCTGTGCAGCAACAATAAGCTAAAAGTGATGTCAGAATATAAATATAAAATGTCTTGAATATACAATGTCATACCAAAAGGAGAAAATGAATGAGATACCAACAATCACAAATACAAATAGGGAGAGAATCTTTTAATATCCTTTTTAATTTTGACCTTAAATGCCAAGAAAAAGGATTTTCGCATTACATAGCAAGACAAAATGGTTTCATATGAAACTGTGACTCCATATTTCATACAACTGAATGTAATCAATTTCCATGTTACTTTAATAACTTCCTTTTGTATTTTCTTTTGAACTTCTTTTCTGTGTCCTTTTAAAAATGTTTTAATCTCTCTCTCTTTTGGCATTACCATTGCAACTCCTCTTCCCTTGCCCCTTCCTCTTAGGAAAAGAATTTTTTTTTAAAAAAAATTATTTATTTTGATTTATCAACAATCGCTTTTGTAAGCTTTTGAGTTTTAAATTTCCCCCACCTCCCTCCCCAAGATGGTGCACAATCTGATATAGGCTATACATATACATTCCTACATTTTCACATTAGTCATGTTGTAAGGAAGAATTAGAACCAATAGGAACCATCAGAAAGAGGAAACAAAACAAAACAGAAGAAAAAAATGGCAAATAGTATGCTTTGTCTGCATTCAAATGCCATAGTTCTTTCTTTGGATGTGGATAGGTATTTTCCATCATGAGACTTTTGGAGATGTCTGAGATCCTTGCATTGCTGAGAAGAGCTAAGTGTATCGAAGTCATCACACAACATGGCAGTTACTGTGTAGACACATCATCAAGTAGAGAAAAACCACTTTCTTTGCTTGAAACCAAAACTCAGGGCAGCAACACTGAGGCTCTCTGAGGAGCAAGGAGAGGAAGTGATTTGTGGCTCCCTCGGAGTTGTCTCTCTGGGGCACACTAAAGCCCTGTGGAGGCACTGACTATTTCATGCTTAGTTTGAAGCCTTCCCCTAGAGAGAAGACCAAGGTGTCAGGAAAGGCAGGAAACCCATAATTGTACATGGGTCACCTGAAGACTACTCTGGTCACATGGAAATTTCGACCTGTCTCTCTTGCACACACCTCCATTGTAACTGAATGACTTGAACCATCCTAGCGATCCTGGGACACAATGCTTCCTTTTCCAACTAAATGCTGTGACAGGGACAAAAGGGCAACAGGTTACCACTTACAGTTTCAATCTGTCATCTCTCCAGCTATATATAAGCAATCCCTTCCCTGGCAACTTCTTTCTAGGGCCTAATGGTACTGCGTGGGATAGGGCTGGGGAAAGACTCTAGGATTTCCATGGTAAGTTCTTAACATGTAACTAGGGATTTGGTGCTCCCATACAGAGGCACAAGACATTTGGCTTTTTTCAGTGTGTGAGAAATGAATAATTTTAAATAAAGAAAAAATATCTTTTGGTTAAAAGTCTTTTATAAGAGACCCAGGTCATCACAGAACCAGAATGGGAGCAGTAATCACAGCTACCACTTGCTCCTCTTTCCATGTCTTTAAGTAGAAGGCTGGGGTTTTCCTTCAAGGATAAGATTATCAACTACTTCTTCGGCTCATGTCGGAAGTTAGGACGACACCTCTGCTGGCTGGCAGTGTATCTGCAGGCTTTTCCACTGAGGCAGAGGAACAAAGGAGGGGCTGTCCGCAGGAGACGGCATCTGTTCTATACCCAATCACAGCAGCCCCATCCCGAGAGATTCCATCTAGCCCCTGGTATGCTGGCTATACAACAGGGTCAGAGGTGGACCAGCAGGAGGGAACCAGCACATGTGGTACGTTAACACATGTGAAACCCTAAGATGTGGGCCAGAACAGAGGGCACACAGTTGGCCTCCCTCTGTTCAAGCAAGGTCCAAAGGGTTTACAGGCAGCAATGCTCAGTCCTGTGAACAGTGCTTCCCTCTCACTTCCAAATCTGTTTCTGAGGATAGAGAGGGAATGAGATGAGTTTGCTATGGAGTGACTCTTTGCATTTCTTCCTGGGCTTGTCAAAGAACATGGGCCCAGTCAAAACTGGGCTAAGTTGTGCAGATGTCAAATCAGGATGCAGGAGTCCTCAGCTTGGCCAGGAAACAAGCAGACGGAGTGATTAGATGCATTTTTTTTTTTAGTACACTATTGAGGGGTAGGGAAAAAAGGTCTCTAAACAGCTGCCTCTGCGGCATGAGATTTCCTTTCTGATCTCCACCGGTTCCTCCTACACAGCACACCACCTTCGCCTCTCCTCCTTCTGCCTCATTTTATGCCAGTCCCTGTGACCAAAAGGCACTGGGGAGTTTCCTCAACCCTGAATATTTTAGCAGCAAAGTTATCCCCCAACTTAAACTGGCAGGTAGAGAGAACTTGAGTGCTCCTTCCCACTGTGGCAGGGGTGGTGAACCTGTGGCCTCAAGCCCACGTGTGGCCCTCTAGGTCAAGGGCAGCCTTTTGACCGAGTCCAAGTTTTACAGAACAAATCCCTGTAATATATAGGATTTTGGATTCATAGGGTTTGAATTCAAAAGGTTGCACTTCAGGACCTAGAGGGCCACATGTGACCTCCAGGCCACAGGTCCCTCACCCCTGGAAACCACAGGCAAGCCACCGTGACCTTTGTCAGCCTGTTTCTTCACACATTACCAGTTGGGCTAAATGTTCAGCTTTAAAAACTGTTACAGGACCTTACATATGAGAATATGGTCAAACTTAGATCTTCGATTAGAGGGTGGTTCGATAGACACTTGTGAGTGAACTTTGAGATTGTTTTGGGCAGGAGGCCAGTGGTAAAGTGGAATGTTGGAGTGAAAGAGTTTGTTAGGGAAGGGGGTGGGCAGGCAAGGAGAAAGGTCAGAGTAAGCTCATTCACCTGGATTCAGCCAAGTAAAAATGGTGGCTTCCCACCCTACAGACACCATTAAACCCAATTTGCAGTTCCTCTCTGAACTAGGAATTTGTTACTGGCTAACAGAGTAATCGCCATATGGAGCAATTGTGTTGCACAGTCCTCTGTATCAAATCTGTCTTCCATTGGGAATATGTCCATTAAATTTTAGTGATGTCAGCACCCAATATTTTAACAACCTTGATGCCAGTCTAGTCTGTTAAAGTGTCCAAAGCAACGAAAGGCATCATGTCACATAACGGCAAAGATATATTTTTATTTTTCAGTAGCAAAAGAATTTATGAAACTTGCTGGCTTAAAAATACTTCCCATTTATTTTAAGCACTGTAAATAGTTGTATGTTGCTATATTTATTGCTCAGTTAACAAAAGAAGGAAACTTTAAAGCCAGTCATAATTAAAAAAAATTTTTTTCCTTTCCAAAGCTCATGAAAGATAGCGGAACAAATATCTCAGACACTTATATAATGTGTAATCAAGAAGTCTAAACTGTTACCTATCCCATAATGCCACATCGTATTCTTTAGAGACTATAAGAGGACTATCTTTGACTCTCTTCAAGTCTTGTTTACTTAAAATGTCTGTAGAAATATCATTGTGGTTGTCGTGATAAGGCATGTGCACATACCTTGGGACCCAGACACAGATTAACTTCTAACTCGTTCATTAGGTTCAAGGAAAGGTTTCTGATCAATAAGAAGGAAAAACCTTCAATCAATCCTTTCAGTGCTTGGAAAGTCTTGTTTACTTTTTAAAACAGAATGAAATCTTCCAAGGGAAGGGAAACGAGCACCTTTTATGAAAAGGATTTGCACACTCCTTGAGCCCACGAATTAGACAACACATCCGTAGCTTTCCCACATAATGCAAGACTTATAACCTAAACCCAAGAAGCTAAGAAGAAAAGAATAAATTTAAAGCACCCATTGAAAATATCCTAGCAAGAATGGCAACAATATCAGTATCATCAGACCTACTAATGAGTTTCTGTTTAATCTACTTGGTTAGATCTCCATTCCATTAGGCTAGGATCTACTATGTTTCTTTCTCTGGTCCAGTGCAAACTCAATTATAGGAAAAACAGTAGAGATCCTGTCGAACAGCCAAGAGCAATCCTGGCACTCCATGGGGGCCCCCAAGATGGGAAGAGAAAACCACACTGGGGATGTCTTCCTTAGAGGATGGGTATGGGGAAGGGATGGTTCTGAGCAGATGGGTATCACAAAGGCTCCATATCCGTGTATAGCAGTCCTGCCCCACTGAAAAGGGAAAAAAGGATTGGTTAATGATGGGATGCTGAGCAGGTGTACTTCAACTTCTTCAAGATTCTCTAGCACTAGCATATACATGTGAAAGAGTGTAGAAAACACAAAAATATTATGCTTTCTAAACAATGTTCTAATATAAGTATATTGTAAGGTACCCAAAGTGATAATATATATGTCTCTGATAACTCTGTAGCTCAGGAGACTTTAAGAAGCTTGGCAAACTAATGCAGACCACTAGACTTTTCTGAGTCGCCTAGACTTGCTCTCTTTCTGCTGGGCCAAGGATCTGGTATCTTAGGTGAGAGAAGGGGTATAGAAGTACACTAGGGGACAATCCAATCAGGGTATAGGTGGAGAGGAGTTTATAACCAGCAACCCCCTGGTCTTCCCTTCTTTATCTGCTTTTACAATTCTTCCTCAAAATTTGAAGGGTGGGTCAGTTTCATTCCTTGGACTTAGGAAAATAAACAAAATGGAAAATTTTGAAGACTTTTTCCACTACTGCATATGTATTTCTAATTGCAAACAAGCTAATTCTCCCTAAAGCCTCATTTCATACAAAGGCTCAGTTTATGTCTCCAGGGCTCACAGTTCTTGAAGAATGTTGTGTTATTTATTAGGCAAGTATACAAAAACTGGACATCCTGCAATGTGCACACCATTTGGAAGTCTTAAGAGGAAATACTTTTGGAAGATAAGCACAGTGGTAGCTTACTGTATTACAAGAGCCTCAAATCTGGTTTTTATATACATACCATCTTGAAACCCTGTCCATTAGGATTTACTTATCAGAAAGAACTTGCTTTAGAATATGGACTCATAAAGATTATGTTAGCAGCAAGGGTCCAGGGTACAGTAAGTTATTAAACTTTTCAAAATGTCTTTTGGTAGCTGTAGGGAGCAAGTAGCATTTTTTGGGGGGTTGGAGTGTGGTGGTGGTGAATCCCACAGTAAAGTATACCATGGGTGACAGCCTTGAGTCAGGCAGACCCCAAATCCAAGGCTGTCACGTTTCGTCTTGTTCTACCCATCTCATGTTGCTATCTATTTTGTCTAAGAAGGTTTGCACAAATTCCTCCTCACTATTTTTCATCTTTCTCTTCATTACTGAAAATGTGCCTTATATAAGTCCATCATGACTTTTCCTCCAGTTTGTTCTGGTCAAGCTTATGTACCCAAGCGACGGTCCTTGGCTCTTTATCACTGACGTGTTGTCTCCAGCTAATCAGTGGAGACTACATGAAAAAAATGATCCAATAGAACGGAATCTCACATAATAAATCCTACATGATATTCCGGGATAACTTGTGGCTGGGGAGGGGCTGGTCTGTTTTCAGTTGACTCCCTGTATAGAAATGTGTCTTTCCCACATACCTGCTATCACAAGTCCTTCTTCCTCATGTACATGCAGGGGCAGGTAGGCATATTCATTATTGTGACCCTCATATTGTTTCACACACTTATTTGCTCTCAGGTCCCACAGCTTGATCTGTGAGTTAAGGTCATAAGGAGAAAGTCAAAAGGAAGCACCTACTTTACGAGGAATATCAGACTACAAGCTTACCTTAAGAGTAAAACAAAAAGCCACATTCATATTGAGCAAGGCACAGGCAGCGCCAGAGTACCCGGGCCTACCGATTCCCATTCTCCAGTCCCCAGGCTCCTCTTCCTCCCATCTCTCTCTCTTTAAACTCTAGGAAGCATAGCCATGCTCATCTCTGCCTGGGGCAGAGCACCAAAGCAAGGCCCCTAAAGCTCAGCTGACTAGATTTCTTCTGCTTCCTAAAAACCCACCACATGATAGCTTTCTTGAAAAAATTTATTGAGTAGATGAATGAAATGGTCAGTCTTGTACTTTTTTTTTTTAAGGCAGTTGGGGTTAAGTGACTTGCCCAGGGTCACACAGCTAGTGTCAAATGTTTGGTCTGAGTCTGGATCTGAACTCAGGTCCTCCTGACTTCAGGGCCAGTGCTCTATCCACTGTGCCACCTAGCTGCCCCCACATGATAGCTTTCTAATGGATCTCTTTTTCCTTTACAAGCAATCTGTCCCAAGTCCAAAGATGGAAATAAGGTAGTCTCCTTTTTCTAAGTGGTTACCCCCTGTGCCTGGGGTCTGACTAGGGTCCAGACTGGGCCTTAGACACATTAACTGTGTGACCCTAGGGAAATCACTGAACTTTGGCTTCATTTTCCTCATCTGTAAAATGGGGATAATAATATCTACAATACTGTAAGAAAGTGCTCTGCAAACTTTAAAGTACTATATAAATGTCAGGTATTATCAATTGTTTTCTTTGAAGCATGGCACTGCTAGTAAAGCCCTTCTACCTGGGTCCCTCAGGATCTCAATCATCCAGCAGAAGCTTGAGAAAAGCCAGCTTTGCTTTTGTACCTTCCCAGACATATCTGCTGCCATCAGGTGCTGCTCATCTTGTAGGACCCGAACAGATGTCACAGCTGAGTCATGGAATAAGCGGGCAGCTTTCCAGCCATGGCCTTTACGACTTCGGTGACGCAAATCGATAGCGAAGATCTCACCAGAGCGGCAGCCATTGAACAGTACAGGGGCCTACATACAGAGGGAAGGAACGTCTATGCTGAGTCATTACATTAACATCTATTACCTGCTAGTAAATGAACCACAACCACCATCCAATTCCCATGCTTTGATATTCACAAATTCAGGGTGAAAGGGATGTGTGTGTTTGTCTCTCCAACCAGACATGGCCCTACATAGCCCATTCCCTTTGGTCTCACTTGAGAACAGTATGCCATTACCAACTTCAACACTGCTGTCGCCAATAGGTCCTTTAGTCTTTCATATCGTTACGTACAAGTTTGGGGGTGGGGAGAAGGAGGAACACTTGAGGATGGGGCAATGGATATGCAGTATTAGAGAGGATAATGGTTCCATTATACCACAGGAACCTAACTGGGAGATGAGGAAGAGCTGTTAAGATACTTTCCTTATTGCTCTCAAAACATTGTAGATGAATCTCACAAGTTATTTTCACTATATAGTTAATTACATCATTTTCTTATAGACAGAGGTCAGAAATAGTCAAAACCATGAATGATGACTTCTACATTTAAAAATATACAAGCTTAAGTAGTTTATTAATGTTATTCATTTACAAGTTTTTCCAATTATTTGTGCTGCTATATAATCGATGTACCTATTCAGTTTAGCCACAAACAAGAATTCACTGAAAGCCACACTTAACTAAGTGATGTTATACCACCAGTAAGCCAGATTTGATTAAGTTTGCACATCTTCTGCAAAGTTAATCTGCTAATACTTGAGTTATTTTAAAATTCCCTATAAAATGGGGAGTGATGGTAGAGGATACACAGGTGACCACGATCATCTTTTCCTGAGTTTTAGTTAACTACCACCTGAACTCCTGATTAGACCTTTTCTTTCTTTAATTTACAGTTCTCAATTCTCTCATCCCTCTCTCCCCTACCCACTGAGAAGGAAAGAAAAAAAAGCCCATTACAAATATGAATAATCCAAAAAAAAAAAAAAAAGAGAAGAAAAAAGATGCTTCAATCTGCACTTGATTAAATCACTTTTTTAGCCTCAACCAACCTGGATGGCAAACTGTTGTGCCAGTACATCACTGTTGGTCCCAAATGTCTGCCGATGACCAGTCACTGCATTGGTTACAAGGACTCTTCTTGACAAGCCTAAGGGAACATACACACAAGTGATCTTTGGGACCCTTCCACCAGTTCAGGCTGGTGAAAGGTGAAGATAGGGAGAGATTCAGCCTTCTACTAAATCATTCCCTTATTGTAGGTTTTAAGGAGCAGGTCACAGCTCACCTGTACTGAAGCAATTATTAGCCTGAGCATTCAGGCACCATGCACAAGACCAGGCAGTGGAGATCTTAAAACTGCAAAGCATACCAGGCTGGTCTCCTGCTACACTTAAAAAGTTTAAAAAAAAAAAAAGGAAGATAATTTGTGAGAATCTTTTTAGGTAGGCAGACATAAAATAACATGTTAGTAGAATTCTGTTATTTCCACTGCAGTACCTATATCATGTTGTCACATTTCCCACATATCCAGGAAACTTCAGAGATTAGCAACTACTATCCATAAATTATGCTGTGCCAGGTTTTCTTGTGGCTAGGAATAGAACCTTTCTGCATCTAGGTCTTAGGAAACCTGCAAATATATTCACATATGGGTGGAGTCCATGCCAATTTTTCTGAACGCACAGTTTTAGAAGGGGAGTTGGAAGGTTTATCCCCAGTTTCCTTAGCTCTGATTCACAAGATGTTTGGAAAAACAAATAAAACAATAACCCAGTTAACATTTATAAAGCACTAGTATGTGCCAGGCCCTATGCGCAGTGCTTTATAGATATCTCATTTATCCTTGGAACCCTGGGAGATAGGTGCTATTATCTCCATTTTACAGATGAGGAAACTGAAGCAAAGAGAGGTTAAGTGACTTGCCCAGGATCATAACAGCTAGTGTCTGAGGCCACATTTGAATTCAGGTCTTCCTGACTCTAGGCCTGGTGCTCTATCCATTGTGCTACCTTGCTAGCCCTAATAACTTCCTAGAAGGAGGCAGGAGTGCTTTCAGGATTAAATGCTTTCAAAAAGCCAGCCTATACTTATGTTTTTTCTTGTACAGACCACCTTTGCTTGGAAGAGTCTGATGCTCCCACTAATAAAATCAGGAGGAGAGAATTTAGGTCCAACTAGGACTCATTTTGAGACCAGCTTAGGCAATCCCCACTTTAGGATTAATGTATCTGGAAACAACCATAACACTATCAGCTTTGTCTCTAGGGGGTTGGACAGCCTGTGTTTGATTCTCAGCAGTAAGCTAAGCTTACTTTTGGCCTTGGGGTTTTGTTGTTAAACCTTTGCTAGACCTAAACCTTGGGTACATCTCAAGGAAAAAGTCGAGACACTTTGTTGGTCTTAGCTTCTATGAAACACAGAAGTGTGAACAGGACTACTGATCAAAGGATAAATCAGAGCCCAAACCTCAGTATTTTTTAAAGTAGAAGAAAGGACCTCAAAGATTAACTGGTCCAACATTTTAATTTTACAGAGGAAGAAGAGCAATTCAATTCCACAAATGTTTACTGAATACCTGCTATGTGTAAGATAGATGGAAATGAAGGCTGAGAGACGTCAAAGGCATGGTTCTAACTGGACTGCACACTTAGGATTAGAATCTAGGTTTCCTGTGAGGCAATATGATACAATGGAAAACAGTGGATCTGGAGCCAAAGGACTTGGGTGTCAATCTGCTCCCTATCTGTGTGAGCTTGGGCAAGTCCCTTCATCTCTGGGCCTCAGCTTGCTCATCTGTAAAATGAGGGCTGGACCAGATGAGCTCTAATCCTATGACTCTCTACTTCATCCACTGTTGTTCTAGCCCTGCTAAAATACGAACCCACTCAAAATCAAATGAGCACTGTACCTGGCCTGGTGTTGCTGAACAAGGAGGCAGGAAGTAAACTGGCACAGCCTGGAGTCTCTGCAATGCCCATGAGACACAGCCTGAAGAATGACATTAAGGATAACAGGAGGAAGAAAGGAATCTCTTTTGGGAAAGAGTGGGGATGAATGTATTCTTCTCCACAGAACCATGAAGCCTCTGGACCTATAAACTTTTCACACAGCCACCTAGAGCTGACTGACCAAGAACACGTTTCTCCCTTTTCCTGCTTAATAGGGCAGCTAGGTGGCACAGCGTATAGAACGCCAGGTCCGGAACCTCAGATGCTTACTAGCTAAGTGACTATAGGCAACTCATTCACCCTGTTGGCCTCAGTTTCTTCATACGTATAATGAGCTGGAGAAGGAAACTGCAAACCACTGAAGCATCTCTGCTAAAAAAACAAACACCAAATGGGGTCACAGAGTCGGATGCGATCGAACAGACAAAAGCAACTGTTTGTAGCCACCTCTGTTTAAATTTTTTTTTTCTAAATGAAGACTTGCCTTCTCTCCCACTCACCTCTCTTTGATCCCTTACAGAGAAAGAAAAAGAAAATCCCCACTGCAAACACATATAGTCAAGCAAAACAAATTCCCACATTGGTCATGTCCAAAACAGACCTGTGCCTCAATGTGCGCTGAATCCATCACCTCTACCAGGAGAAAGGAAGGCTTTTTATCACACGTCCTCTGAAACTGTGGCTGTTCACCATCAGCCAACTATCCCTAAACTCACCAGCCAACAGATGGGTAGGAAGACCCAAGGATACCAGGAAAGTGAGTGTTTCACACAGGCCAGTAACGCTATCTTGATTTCTTTTGGGCTTTAGGAAGATATAAGTCTGAATAATTAAATCAATGCCACCGAGTGTGACGGACTGAGAAAGCTTCACCTAAATAACTGGGTATTTCTCTTGGGTGATGGTAAGTATGACCTGGTAAATGCCTCTTTTTTTTTTAACTTTTTTAACTTTACTTCATATGCTTTAAGGGTAGCAAACAATGTTATCAACAAAAATTTTTTTTAAGGCAAGATCTTGCCAAATAATGAATACTAAACTTAGCAATAGCCAGGCATACCTAGAGATGTGATATGTATGCCACACTGCCTTACATGATAAGCATTGTGAGATCAAAACCCATTAGGTACTTATTTCAGAGACAAAGATAAATATTAATAAGCAGCTGAATATCCTGTAGCTAGCTGGTCATGTAAGTTATATATAAATCTTGTCCTAGTGTTTAGAGTGCAAGAAGTTGGAAGAAAACCTTTACCTGTCCTCTGTTTCCTGTAGCTGGGCTTTTAGAACACATAGTTTGGTAAGAGCATGATTTTCATGAGGCTAAGGGGTGTGGGCTTAATCTCCTCTATATAGCTCAGCACAGTAACTGCAAAACGTGTGCCAAAGGTGGTAGTGGGGGTTCAAGATCAGACTTTGAAGTACAAAACTACCAGTGCTATTTGCACAAGAACTTAAAGGGCACACATGGATGATATATCCGAAGTATCATTTCTGTAGACAAAGGAGATGACTTCACATGGCCTTCTGCTGAAACAGAAGGTGTACCTAAAACGACCACCAGAGGATACTGGGAGACTAGCCATCGGATCAGAAGGTAGAGGATGGGAAGGAACATCAGCATCAGTATTTTTGATTCTATTAAAGCCTAATACGGATCATATGTCATTTTCATAAGAAAGAAAGCATCTTAAATGAAGCTGAGAAGCTCGGTTTGTTTTTTTTTCCTTTTTGCTCTGCAAAGATCTTCCCTTCTACATAAATATTTTTTTTACAAAAATGGGTAAATTTCACAATAGAAGAGCATACTTATATAAAAAGGTGGGTCTTGCTTTAAAGAAAGCCTCTCTACATAAAACAGAATTTGCACAAAAAAAACCATTGGGAATTTTTTTGTTTACAAAGAGGAATTATAATTGGATTTCTCTGAATTCTAATCTAAAGTAAATCTAAGGCAGGAGCTGATTTATAAAAGCATATTCATACAACATTTTAGCAACACTTATATATACAGGGAATAACAGACCTGACTCATTATGTGACTGGATATATCACAGATCAAACTTTGTCCTGTGAAATATAACTACTGAATATAATCTACAACATGTGCTAGTCCTGTTCCAGAAAGCAGCATTAAAAAAAAAAGGTTCTAAGCACTTTGTTACATCCTCTGCAAAGGTTCCCACTGCTACCTCCACGTAGGAAGGGAAACACACAGAAGGAGAGTCCCTTCAAAACAATGTTGCTCCATGGTATAAACAGGAAGGTTATCACTTGGTTGATCACACAAAAGTAATGGAAATTAAGTCAGGTGTTCATTATAGCGAATAGTCTTTTTCCTACTCCACAAGCCACTATGCCAGGTATCACAACAGCAGAGAATGTGAGTTTAACTTCCCAGCTGTTGTTCATCTGTTTCAGTTGTCTCTGACTCTGTGACCCCATTTAGGGTTTTCTTGGCAAAGTTACTGGAGTGGTTGGCCATTTCCTTCTACAGCTCATTTTACACATGAGGAACTGAGGCAAACAGGGTTAAGTGACTTGCTCAGGATCACACAATTAGTTAAGTATCTGAGGTCACATTTGAATTCAGGTCTTCTTGACTCCAGGCCCTTGACTCTATCCACTTCGCAACCTACCAGCTACCTCAGTCCAACCGGTGCTGGACCATGACAATACTTTCCTTCCCAACATCCACAAGTAGATATCCAAGTAGTCACACAGACATCAAGTGAGGAGGAAACAATGATCTCCCAAGGAAATCAACTGGGAGACAGCTCTGTTGGTTAAGTTTTTTTTCTTTATATCAAGCCTTAATCTGCGATATGCTGCTGTTCCTAATTCTGACCCCTGTTGTTATCGTTCACTTTTCTCCTTGGTTCCCCTAACCCTGCGGGGAGGGCAGCTGCCTTGAACCTTCTCTTTTGCTGAAACTCCCGGGGGCAGGGGCAAAGGAAATGGAAGGTGTAAAAGCTATGGAAGGGAAGATCACGAAGAATGAGTGTGATAAGGCATCTCTCTATGAAAAATAAATCCTCCATGTGAAGATTAGCTCTCTTTGCCATTTTCAATGTTAATTACCTGCTTCTTTTTGCAGAGGCTTTGATGCTTTTATCAGCTTTCTTTTTAATTCTAAACAAATACAAGCCTTCTTGGATATTTATACTCATTTCTCAGGGCACAAAATCTTCCTCGGAAATAGCGCCTAGCTTGCTTGCTCCTTCTTATACCCCACGAGAATTCTCTTGCTCTGAGTTCTATTTAGATGTACCCTTCTCTCCGAAGAGATGCGATATCTGAGCAGTGGCTTAAGCTCCTCCAGTCAGCCTCTTATTTAGGCACCAACACCCTCACAGATGCTGTGTGTTTGCGACAAAGGGCAGCCTGCCACCCAAACTCCTTCACTTGTTGAAGGATACAAAACATGGGAATCTGGATGAGTCAGTGAGGCCCAGCATACCGAATTTACCTGGTAAGGAAGCACACAGCAAGAATGAAGAATCAGTTATGACTACTGCTTGGTAACTTGTGGTAAGGGCATGTTTCCTAAAGTCGCAGAAACAGGGACATATGTTGGTTGTCTTCTTCCTCTTCGCTGGTTAAATTCCATGCGGCTTTATAACACGGGAAAGGCCCCAGTGACTTTAACTACCAGGCAGAAAGGAGTTCTCAAGCTCTATGCAGCTTTTATGTTTGTTGAAACAATAGAATATAGTAATCCCAATAGTTATTTGTGAGTAAGGTCACTGATTCCACCTTTTGCTTTCACATGGGAGCCAACAGGTCTAGAGAGTAAAATCATTTGTGTCCTCTCCCCAGTAAATATCAGCAAAGCAGGCTATCTCCCTATGATACTTTTCCCTTAACATTTCAAAGAGGGAAAAGATCAGGGCTTTCAAGCTATATATAATTCTTTAGTTTTGAACGGGGAAAAAAATCACCATCAGATGCTTTGAACATAACCTGAGCACCGTATTGCTGTATGTTATTTCACTAGAATAACAAGTGAAAGAAAGAAAGAAAAAGAGCAACAAAATTTCTCAGGACAGGTAAACTACAGGGAGATAACACATTTTATTTCAAATAATTCCCAAACTTAATTTATTCTATATACTACCAAAAAGGGGGGTGGGGGGAGGGGAACATGTGTACTATCACAACAGTTTATTGATAGCACTCAGGAAGCCATAGCTGGAAGGTTTAAAGCTCAGCTTTCTGTTTTAGTTTTACAGAAAAACCATGAAAAGAGAAGGCTCATTATTCTACTGCAAATGGCTCATCTCTTCCTCCATCCTCCCAGCTCTACAACTAGGAGAGATCCTTGAATAACACTCCTCTTCCTCTCCCTCTTCCCCTCACACCTTATCCTCTGCGGCTCTTAAACCTAGTCTGGGAAAGACTGCCTTGCATCCACCTGAGAAAACAGTCATTTTCTCTCCCTAAATCACCAGCTGCTGAGGTTGCTTCTCCACAATGCAGTTACTCAGGATCTCAGAGTCCCTTGGAACAAAAAAGAGACCAAGGAGTCCTGTACCTTCCCTTATTCTCTTCCACCATCTTTACACCCCAACTTCTCTTTGGCCCCTCCAAGTGCCAGGAACCACTTATTTAGATCCAAACTGGGATATGGAATTACTAGAGGGAGAAATGGGAAAGGAAAGGTCATACAGCTGGTAGCAGTCAATGACCTACCTTGCGGTTGGTAAAGTAGAGGTTGTCATACATTTCCACAGTGAGAGCCTTGGTTCCTAAACCACTAAGGCTGATGATGCCATACTTGCAGCCTCCATGCTCCACATCATTGACTGTGAATACTCTCTCTCGGGCAGTGTCAGCCTGCCAAAGTAAACCACATGCCACTTCAAAGTATGAGTCAGGGTCAGCTGTGAGGGTCATGACTGAGCAACAGCTAATTTTTCTCTGGTCCACTGCCCCTTTAATTTTTCTAGCAAGATACTGTCAGCTAACTCTAAGAGCAGAAATCGTTTGGACCCTCCCCTCACCACCCCCAAATGCAGCTATCTTTGGGGCAATGCTGACAACTGCCTGATCTAGCAATTCACCGCTTAGAATGGACAGGAAGGACACTACACAAAGGGGACATGTATTGGAGGTAATGCTACCAGGGAAACTGAGTTCAGTACTTGAATCAGAACTGGGTCTAGAGGCAATAGTGTGGCTGCTTCAATTTCTGTAAAAAGTGTGCCTCAGGAAGGATTACTAGTGGTTGGGATCTGATCTCAACTGAAAAATGGGACCTCTGCTGACAAACAGCTATGTCTAAACTTCTTCTTTATCACTGAGTTTAAAGGAAGGTAAGATCTACAGAATTACTAGCATTTCTGATGAAAAGTCACCGAAGAACCCTTCAACTCAGAACTCTGCCAAGCAGGTTTGTGTAATGTGAGGCACTTGCTCAAGGCGGTTAAAGTCTGCCTAACACACATGGCAAGCAGCAGAGATGACTTTTCTATACCATACTTGACCTGGTTTAATTGAAGAATATCAGAATGGGGGACCCTGGATTTTTAGCTTAGATCCTAGTGTAGCAGGACCAAGCAAGACTGAGAATAATTCATGTCTTTTACCCCCCCAGAAAAATAACGACATGACTACACAGTCTTTTAAAAGCTTTAGTCCTGACACCAGTCTCCCTAGAGGTATCACCTCCGACAAAGTTATAAAATCCTCCACTGTGTTAAGTACCTGTGAGGGAACAGGCATTGACCCCATTGGGTTATTCTGTACTCCAGTCTATCCCTCCCACTAGAAGAGTTCTCTCTCCTTAATCATCCAAGCCTCTCCTTTCTGCTGCTGTCTTTTTCTTCTTCTCACAGCTACCCTTTAATAAAAAGGAAGGAGAGGACTTGGGTTGGACAGCTCCACTTCATAAGTGTCTGTAGCCTGTCACACTCATGAGTCAGGTCTTCTAAACAAGTCCTTCTTCCCCTCCCAGGTGTTCTTCTACTAGTCTCCAGAGCCACCCAGGCCCCAAAGACTGCTCTATTCTTTCTAGGAGTACACATATGTTGTGGAGGTGAGGTAGTACAGGAAATGGTCTCAAATCATAGGGAGAAGAGTTCTTTCTACACGGCAAATGAAATGGAGGGATGCCTCAGAAGATGAATGCCTCTGTGTACACAGATCATGCCAGGTACATTCCCTGGACTCTCTTGGCTCCTGATGCACACGAGCTCCAAATCTGGCCACCTTTAGCTTGGAACATGCATAAAATTCACCATCCAACTGAGGAACACAACACCTCAAAGGAAAAAGAATATATTATGCTGAGCTGCTCTTTACACACGTGGGGGCCCTAATGCAAAGTGACGGAGCAGAAGCGATGGGTGGATTCCTGCTCACAGTACATTCTACCCTGCCAGGACGGCACCTGCCATTTTATATACAGCAGGAGCTTAAAATAATCATAGTAGTAATAATGATATTATTTTTATTATATTATTTATAATAAAAGCCACCCATTTCTGTGACAGTTTGAAGCCAAAGTTAAAAACCAATATATTATGTCTAGTTCAAATAGCTCCACCCCAGAAGATCCCCGCTACCTACTCACGAGAAACAAATAAAGGCTGACCCGTGGAGTGTCTTGGCACAGCTAATCTTTATCCTTAAACATCTCCAACTCACCACTATGAGTTTAAAGGGATCAGTTCCAAACAGAGGAATCAGGGCTCTGAATTTCCACCTTCTTTCTCTGCATGCAGTTTACACGTAACTCGTGGACTAATCTGTAGGGGGCAAACAGGAGGGGGGTAGTAATGACTAAGTGGTGAAGAAAATTCAGGATGTGAGAAAGAGTAAGTAGAGCATAAGAAAAATCTCTATTATTTGTTCCTTTCCATACTGTTCTTTAAGAATGGCTTTAAAGGCAAGATTCTAAATACCTCAGCTCTAATAATTTTCATTCCACAGATATTTAGGCAACTTCCTTTTATACAGCACTGGGCTTAGGCACAGGGAGATATAAAGTTTAACTTTCCAAAATCGTCGAAAAGATTGAACATATTAAAAGGGATTTGGATGTTAAGAAGAAACCTCCAAGAGCTCTGAATCCTAACTCCAGTACTGCTTTCTGTATACCTTAATCAAAACCTTGAAGACACCCTTCCTCATTCAAAGAAAAAGTTCCTACTCTCATCTCTGGGATTGGGTGATTTTCTTTATGTCTAGAGACATATCTACCTGCTTTCAAGCTAAAGCAAGCACATTTATACCACCAAAATTATCCTTTACTACTTCTTTGGGGACTTTTCTGAGTCCTTTATTGTTCAGAAGATTGAGAGATCTGAATCACGGAGCTGAAGTAGGAAAAGTTGTTTTTCCTAAGTGGTCTCTTCTCTTACCTTTTTAATTGAATCTCCTTTCATGGAATAGTTAGTAGTAGAGGGATAAAACACAAACACAACTGCTTGTAGCAGTGAGAAAGTCATAAGGCAGAGTTATATGGAGTCTGAGCAGAAGGCTACTGTAGTTCAGGGGAGATGCAGAAAGGCTGCATAGCCTTTCCATTGTGTAATGGAAACAATGGTTTAACTGGGCTTTAATGGACAAACAGTTATTCAGCAAGTGAAGGGGGGTGGTGGAGCAAGAGATAGGATCTAGGAATATGTTGTCGCTAGAAGGTATTTCAGAAACTGACATCTAGTGTTGTGAAGCAACTTGATGAAGGTCATAAAGGTTAAAAAAAACATCAAGCATTTATTAAGCTCCTACTATGTGTCAGATAAACACTGTCAGGTGTTGGCGATATGAAGACAAAAGAAAAACAGTCAAGCAGCTGGAGCTTACAGCCTAGCTGGAGGAGACCACACACATGTATCTAAGTGTATACAAATACATACAATGCCCTGCAGACAACAGTAAAGGCTTTCTGTAGAAGGCTGTATTTCATCTGAGCATTGAAAGAAATCAAGAATTTTGTTTTACCATCAGCCACAGATTTCTTTACTTTAAACTTGCTAATCAAACTTTCAGTTACAATATATGTGGCAAAAAAACCAAAAGAAAACAGAAAGATCATTAAAACACAGTATCTGCCAAAAGAAATTAAGAACTTTAAGAGACAGAGGGGAGAAGGGAGTGCATTGTGGGGATGAGGAAAGGTGAATGCAAAAAGGAACAGGTGGGAGACAGAGTGAATAAAGAACAGAGTGAAGAACAGGCCAGTTTGGCTGGATGGGGGTAATGTGTAAGACACTGCGGAAAGCAGGCTGGGATGAGGGGTAGGAGGAAGGGCTTTAAATGACATAGAGAAGCAAAAGAGAGGCACTGGAATTTACTGAGAAGGGAAATGACATGGCCAGACCTTTGATTTAGGAAGACTTTGGTAGTCACATGGAGGATGGACTGAGGTAAGGAGAGGCTTGAGGCAGGGAGACCACTCAGGAGGCTAGTGGAATTGTTCAGGTTGAGAGGTGATGGGGGCCTGAGCTAGGATTGTTTATGTGTGAGACACGTTGTAGAGATCTGGCAACTGATCAGACACGAGAGTGGGGTTGGGTAGAGAGGTGCGTGCAAGTGAGTAGTTACAGATGACACTAAGTGGAGAACCTGGGATCAGAAGGACAGCAGTGCCCTGACAGGAACAGGAAGTTGAGGAGAGGTGAGTTTGGGGGAAAAGATGAGTTCTATTTTAGACATGTTGAGTTTGAGACACCTACTAAACGAGATTCAGTTTGAAATGTCCTCTAGGCATCTGGTGACGTAGGGCTTAGAAACTCAGGAGACCAGGGCTGGATATATAGAACTGGCGCTCAGCTGCACAGACGTTTTAACTGAACCCATGTGTGTGATGAGGTCACCAAGAGGGAATGTGAAGAGGGGAGAGAAGAGAAGAGGGCCCAGGAGAAAGTCTTAGGGCAAGACCTGGACTAATGTCTTTCAATTCTCAATTCAGTTTTCTTTCTGCCACACCGAAGCTGGCTATTTTTCACTTGTTCATTGGTTCCGGGATTACAAGCTTTTTTTAATAATGAAGGACAGAACTCTAAAATTTGGGTTTGAGAATTTTCTCCTTGTATCACCACCCAGAGTTAATAAGTTAAGGGCCTTATTATACAAAATTTTATTTGCACAAAATTCCAATATAACTGGTACAGGTAATTAAAACAAACAGCCTACCTTAATGAGAGTATCTCTCACCTCTTCCATCAGAAAGAGACTGCCACCTCCACAACTTTCTCATAGTTCACTGCCCTCCCAATGTGTACTCAGAACTGTGCTATTAGGGAAGACATGATTGGAGTACATATCCTCACCCCAGGTATCGGATCGTAAGCTTTTGGAGGGTAGGTTACTGGGTCATACCTTTGAGTACCTTGTGCAAAAATGGTATTTAGTAAGGAAAGTGTATCCCCAAAGTTTTAAAGCTTAAATAGTTTAAAACTGCACTAAAACTTTGGGGATACTTTGTATTTGTTTCACTGAATCACAAGTAGAGGGGCTGACTCACTTGTAAAGCATCTCAAACGATGCTCTTTCTCACTCTCTCGTGCAGAAAGGCTGAAATGGGTGCTGATAACATCCTAGTTCTAGAATATCTTTTTAGTGTATCACTTCTAGAAAGATAAGCTTATTTTTAATATTGCAAACTGGTAAGGAGAATACCAGGAGAGTAGGGGAAGAAAAAATTCATTGTAATGAAGTTCTAGGACTTGCCAATTTCACTAAAATATGAATGATTTATCAGTACATAAATTATTTAACAGTAACTCATAGACTGGCCTCCCAAAATAAAAGATTTTTATTTTCATCCATGTTTAATTTCTTTGCACTCTCTCCTTTTTCCATTCCCCTCATGCAAGGATATCTCCACTCTCCAGAAAAGAAATAACTCCCTTGGACTGACTTAAACTCTCAAAGTGAAGGCTCTTGTGAAGGATCCTCAAACAGTTATCATCTGGAAAGGTTTGTTTTGAAACAAAGGTAATGGAAGAAATCAGAGTCAGAAAGGACTTCAGAGATAACATGGTCTAACCTCTGTGCCATTAAAGAAAACAGAAGAAACAACCCAAAGAGGCATGTCTTACCGGCAATAATTGGTACAGTAGAGTAAACCCAACTGCCTCTTATTCAACAAGGGTAATGGATTCAATCCAATTCTGGTTGTTTTCTAAGGGGAAAAAAAAAAAGAGAGAGAGAGAGAATTTGATGAAATTTTATCTAGCATAAAGGTGAAGGGTGACTATTTTCTTCTAAAAATTTAAAATTAATTATTTTTTAGTTTTCAGCATTTACGTCCACAAATTTTTGAGTTTTAAATTTTCTCCCCCTCCTTCTCCTTTCCCTTCCCCAAGATGACATGCAATCTGATATCGGCTCTACTTATACATTTATATTAAGCATATTTTCACATCAGTCGTGATGTATAGAAGAATTAGGACTAACGGGAGGAACCACAAGAATGAAGCAATAAAACAAAACAACAAAAGGAGAGCAAATAGTATGTTTCCATCTGCATTCAGCCTCCATAGCTCCTTCTCTGGATGTGGATAGCATTTTCCAATATGAGTCTTTTGGAGTGGTTTTAGATCCTTGCATTGCTGAGAAGAGCTAAGTCTATTGCACAACATGGCTGTTACTGTGTACGATGTTCTCTTGGTTCTGCTCATTCCATTTAGCATCAGTTCGTACAAGTCTTTCCAGGTTTTTCTGAAGTCCACCTACTCATCCTTTCTCATAGCACAATAGTATTCCATTACATTCATATCCCAAAATTTGTGTAGCCATTCCCCAAATGATGGGTATCCTCTCAATTTCCAATTCCTTGCCACCACAAAAAGAGCTGCTATAAATATTTTTGTACATGCGGGTCCTTTTCCCATTTTTATGATCTCTTTGGCATACAACCCTAGAAGTGCTATTGCTGGGTCAAAGGGTATGCACAATTCTATAGTCCTTTGGGCATAGTTCCAAATTATTCTCCAGAATGGTTAGATTAGTTCACAACTCCACCAACAATGCATTAGTGTTCCAATTTTCCCACATCTTCTCCAACATTTATCATTATGCTGTTTTGTCACATTAGCCAATCTAGTAAGTGTGATGTGGCATTTTAGATTCTATTTTTTCATAGACAGCTTTAATTTCTTCCTCTGAAAACTGCCTATTCATATCCTTTAGCCATTTATCAACTGGGGAAGGACTTGTATTCTTATAAATTTGACTCAGTTATCTATATATTTTAGAAATGAGGCCTTTATCAGAGACACTGGTTGTAAAAATTATTTCCCAGTTGTCTGCTTCCCTCCTAATCTTTGTTTCATTAGCTTTGTTTGTGCAAAAACTTTTCAATTTAACATAATCAAAATTATCCATTTGGCATTTCACAATGTTCTCTATCTCTTGTTTGGTCATAAATTCCTTTTTTTTTTTTTGCGTGTGACGCAACTGGGATTAAGTGACTTGCCCAGAGTCACACAGCTAGCAAGTGTTATGTGTGTGAGGCTGGATTTGGACTCAGGTCCTCCTTACTCCAGGGCTGGTGCTCTATGCCACCTAACTGCCCCTTGGTCATAAATTCTTAAGGAAGACTATTTTCATCCTTGCTAAGAAAGCTCATTACAATACATTTTTAGGTTATCAGGGCTCATGATTTAGAGAACATTCAGCACAACCTCCTAATTTTATGCACAAGGAAACTAAGACCCCAAAAAGATTAAATCCCTTGCCTAAGGATCATACAGCTACCTAGGGGTAAGGCTAAGAGAACTCTGGTCTCCTCACTCTCCACTCAGTGCTCCTTCCGTAACAGAACTTTGTAGGTCAAATAACAGGATTATAGCTTAAACTTTACAAAGAGGCAACTGAGGAATTTCTAGTCTTTCCCTTCTATCACAACTCAAGAAGGTAAGCCCTAGAGCATCTCCAGTAGTGAGTAATCCCATCCTGAAAGAAGATTGTTACGTGAAAAGGCATATGGGTAAGTCATTTTTTCAGCAACTGGTAACACGTATGTCAGTGTGTGTGTGTGTGTGTGTGTGTGTGTATGATGGGAAAATATCACGAGAATAAAACATTTCATTTTGTACTCCTGGCTAATGCCCACCTTTTTTTGCATATCCTCTTCCTCCAAAAGCTTCAGTCTTCTGCTCTCCCTCTCCTTGTACTGGATGATCTCCCTTGTGAGGGGGTTGCAGTTGTTATGTCCAGGAAGCAAACGGAAATAACGATTCTTTTCAGGATCAAAGTAAAATCCTGGCAGTTCTTTAACCATGTGAAATGAAATGAAATTTGAATTTTAAACAAGACAAACTGACTGACTTAGCAAACAGCTTATAATGCCATTAGATCTTTTCTCCCTCCTGCTTAAGTCCATCTTTTTTAGGATGAAAGAAAACAGAGTTGCACACTGGTCACTAGATTGAAAATCTATAAAACATTATTGAAAGTCTATAAAACACCAATAAAGCATTAAATACAGAAGAAAACCAAATGAAGTTCAGGGGCAGCTAGGTGGCACAGTGGATAGAGCACCGGCCCTGGAGTCAGGAGGACCTGAATTCAAATCTGGCTTCAGACACATAACACTTTGTAGCTCTGTGATCCTGGGCAAGTTACTTAACCCCAATGTCTAGCCTAAAACACCCCAAACAGCCCCCCAAGTTCAAAGTGGATGCAAATGGCAACTTTAATACTACCTTGTTAAGTTTAGTATGTGTTTATAAAACCAAAGTGATAGGGATCACGGGTTCATGTACAATCCTCTCTTAAAAATTCCAGCTAAAGAAGAAAAAGTGTAGCCTGAACAGGAAAAAAAAAAACCCAAGTTGACTAGCTGGGATTTTTGTTTGAATTATTTCTTGCAGGAAGGAAAGCAATCAACAGAGAGGTCATAATCGGCACTTGGCAACTGCCTTACCTGGCACTGAAGAGCTTTCATTTGAGCTGGAAGCTGATGAAAAACCTCTAGTATTGCTGTCAGAACTCTGAGGACTATGAGATGTCTCTGCTCCATATCTGTAAGTATAAGCAGCTATGGTAAATTGGAAGGTCATGCTTACTTGCTTCAAAGGGCTTTAATTTACTAGTGTCCCAATACCTCTCTGCCTATGATAATAAATACAACTAAACTAACATTCATATCAACTTGTCTGGTTATTTTGCCTATTTTCTTATGGAAAACTGAAGTTGCAGGCTTTTCTCCTAGCACATACTCAAAATATTCAGGTAATATTTCTGTTTACCTTTCTTTTTTTTTTTTTAAAGATACCTGTTTTCAGAGTAATTCTCATTTTTCTGAGCATCAATGCATTTTGTGAAGTCATTTGAAATTTTCCAGTTGCAAACTACTCCAAAATGTCACAGAAACCCATTCCACTAAGAATGTCAAAGCAGTTCTTATTTGTCACAAAAGCAGCAATTCTACACCAGGTAAATCCTGGTCTTTGTCTTCTTTGGTCTAGTTTTACCAAGCTTTTCTTGGCTATTCTCTTTTATAGATGGGGAAACTGAGGCTCAGTAATGAAGCCGTTTGCTTCAGGGAGAGAGCCAGAATGAAAATGTATTGTTTTCTAAGTTCCAAGCTGCTTTTAACAGCCATCCACTTGATTTCTGTTAAATTACAAGCTGAAGGCAGGGAGGCAGCATGGTATAGGGAAAAGAGCAATGGAATGAGTCAGAGGACTGAAAGTCCTAGTGGCAGGCCAATTCACATCCCTCCCTGGGACCCAGACTCTTCATCTGTAAAATAAGGGTGGTAGGACTAGATGATCTTTCAAATTTCTTCCAGCTTTAAAATTCTATGAGTTTATGAGAAGATGATAAAACAAAAAGCCTTATTTAAGAATTGTGGTTAATTGGGACAGTTAGGTGGCGCAGTAGGTAGAACACTGGCCCTGAATTCAAGAGGACGTGAGTTCAAATCCAGCCTCAGATACATAACACTTACTAGCTGTGTGACCCTGGGCAAGTCACTTAACCCCATTGCCTAGCCAAAAATTAAAAAAAAAATGAAGAATTATGGTTAATTACATCATAAATATAAAGTACACTAAAAACTTGTCCCTGCCCTTAGCAATAATGAAGCCAAGGAAATGAAGACTCTTTTTTCCCTTTAAATAATGGCAATCTGGACAACTACAGGTAAAATATCTAGTTCTGTATTTTTCCAACTTGTTCTGTGATGAGAAACAGAAGAGACAGGTTTTACATCCCCTTTTCTAGTGACTTTAACCCTTGCCTTTTGTAGCCCCAAAAGATGTCTGATGGTCTATTAGGCTTACATATGAAGCCAAGTGAAAATACTGTGTGAAAAGGTCTTTGTCCCAAGGACACCCAGGTTACTCCATTATGTAAATACTGATCAATTTTTTTATACAAGTGTTACTCATTAGCATGCTTTTGAAATTTCACCATGGGATTGATTTGGGGAGGCTACATTATTACATTAACTGCCTGTGGATATGCCTATTATTGTTGGAGAGAAATACTTTAGCGGGGCTGATACTTAACATACATTGTTACCAACTCTAACATTAAGGATCTGCTCTTTCCAAGAAAAGGAGTGTGGTGGGTGGAAATGTTCTTAAATTGATTTGATTGTTCCCTCTGGGAATCTTTCAGAAGGAGGTGTTGTGAAGTCTGCCTTTCCTGCCTCATGACCAACATGCACACGTTTATTGACATAAAAGACATAGGACTATCTGTACATCTGAGCAAAGTGGTGACTTCAAGCACAGTTACAGCCCCTTCCGTAGCAATCAATTTTTCTTTACGACAGAACTGGGTGGAATGAGTGGAAACAGACAAGTGAATGTATCTGGGTTTGGTGATGCCATTCAACTCTTGCATTACATGTTTATGCATCTTTCTTTAGGATAATTCTGCCTGAAGGGCAAAGATCTTACAGTCTTTCCCAGACCATTGTTGAATGGATGAATTTAGGTTCCTAGAAGATTGTACTACTGGCTGTAAAATAACAAATACTTCTAACCAAGAAAACTTCTCTGAAAGTAGCTAGTGTAACCTTTTTTTCTAACTTCTTGTAGACAACAGCTACAGCCTAAAGAAAAAAAAAAACACATTCCAAATGCAAATAAGGAGCCCAGCACTATCCTTAAGGACTGAAAAGAGACCTGGGACAAAAGCTGACTCCCACCATTATACCTGCCTTTCATTAGAACTTCGCCTTCTGTTCCAGCGACACGCACTGTTCTGCCGGTAACTGTTTCTCCCATATTTCTCCCTGCTGTATGAGCTTCTCTTCTTCATTTCTGTTCCAAGAAAGAAACAGACACTGTGAGTACCTGACATCATGTCCATGGCACACCTTATGCTCATACTGTCATCTTCCTTCACCCCCATAAGATGTCTGGATCCCTGATCTCTAACCTGCTCCAACATTATCTAGAGAACTGGAAACACTTATAATGGAAATGACATAATTAACAAATTATCCACAATGAGATAAGCAAAGCATGAACAACTGAAATCCACCCATAACTCCCAAACCTTTTCCCACCCTCACCCTTAGGCTGGTTAAAGGAAATGATGAGTGAAATTACAAAAGGTAGGCAGCAGAGTGGGAATAAATACAAAAGATAAAGATAACCCACAAATCAACCAGTTCCTGAATACATGTGTATATTAACATATATGTAAGGCACTCTGAAAGTCTTAAAGCACTATATAAATGCGTAGCTGTGATTGTTATATCATTATTTTAAAAATATTATATTATATGGTATATATATTATATGTAATATATATGTTATTATTTTTCAAGTGGATTGTCCTTCACGTAAGAACAGGCCTTTACGTGCCTGCAATTTACAAGGCACTACGATGGGGGCATCCTAATATTTCAACGGATTTGTGATCTTGCTGAGGTGGCTGCTTCCTTCATCGATGCAGATCACAATACATCTAGGTTTGCTTACTTCATGTAATTCTTTTCCATATTCTCCCCAAGCTCTCCTATAGGGCCCACCTAACACGTTTGGGGCCTCCTTCAGGTTCTTCTCACAAGAGATCATGGATTTAAAGCTCAAAGGGACATTAGAGGTCACTGAGGTCAACTCCCACAATTTAAAGATAAGGAAACTGAAGCCCAGAGAGTTTAAGTGACTTGCCCAAGGTTGCACAAATACTAAGTGGCAGCTCTTCCCACTATACCACACTCTTTTTAAAGACAAGTTTCTAAGTCTACATTCCTAAGTTTGCTGTCGTTTAGTCATTCTTGGCAAAGATACTAGAGTAGCTTGCCATTTCACTCTCCAGCTCACCTTACAGATGAGGAACTGAGGCCAACAAGGTTAAGTGACTTGCTCAGGGTCACATAGCTAGTATCTAAGGCCAGGTTTGAACTCAGGAGGATAAATCTTCTTGTCTCCAGGCCTAGCGCTCTATCCACTGCACCTCTTAGCTGCCCATTCCTAAGTCTATACCACAGCTCTATAAGAAGCAGGTATTACATACACAATCCCCCTTTTACACTTAAGAAAGGTTAAGTAATTGAACCTTGAATGTTAAGGGCTAGGTGCTTTACAAATATAACAACCGTCCTGTGAAACAGGTCCAATTAAAACTCTTATTTTACATTTGTTTATAGTTGAGAAAACTAAGGCAGTGGTTAAGTGACTTGATCAAGATCACACAGCTAATGTCTTGAGGCTGCAATTGAACTGAATCCAGGCTCAGCACTATATCCACTGCGTCACTTAGCTGCCCCTAAAGAACACAGTTATTAAGTGATCTGAACAGGATTCTTCTAATTCAAGTCAACAAACACTTCCTATGTACCATGTACTCTACTACCCTCATACAGCAAAAATCCAAGAATTAAAAAATCTGTACTGACTGGGGACCATCTTATGGCTCCAGCTGGGGGAAGAGCTTTCTTAAATGAAGGTATTTGCTGAAATGAACTTGGAAAAGTAATCCATCCAATATTTATTAGGTGTCTTGTTATATGCAAGCTACTGTGCTTGGCACTGTTAGATATAAAAGAATGACTATCAAGTCCATTATTTCGTTCCTCAGTCCAAGGCAGTATCCCTTTGCTGTCCATTTAAAAGGGGGCTCCTTATGAATGTGGTAAATAAAATCGGAGAGATGAAGGGTGAGGACGTGGGTCAGCAAAATGACCTTGGGGCAGCTAACTGCGCCCCGGTCAAGCTCGTCCAAAGCGAGCCCTGCCGCCTAGGTCGAAAAATAGCAGACTAGCTTCACCAGGACTTGGTTTGAACTTGAACTTGGCCCGCATGGTCTTTTTTTTTTTTTCTTCCAGGAACTTGAGCCGTCTGTTTGCCCTGGTTTGTTTTGGGGTAAGTTTTCTGGTTCAGTTCCCGAAATCTCCCAAGTAAAAGCGTTAATCAGGACCTTTCAGACCCCGCCCCCTCTCGCCCCGCCCCGCCGCCTCCGCCGAGGTCCTCTTCCAGACCGTCACCGCTCGGGGTCGAGGCTGTTCCGGTTTCCGACAGCCGCGCGTGGGCGCGGGGCCAGGGCTGGGGAGCCTCTCCCTGCAGGAAGCAACTCTCAGCGTGGGGAAGGAAAGACACAACAAAAAAAGTTCAGCTCCGCGGCGCACCTGCTTACCTGCTCCACCACTCCCGACGTGGGCCCCACGTGCTCGCTCCCGCCTGTCCTACGCGGGAATTCTCTCCCACGTGCTCCACCCCTCCTCCCCTGGACTGGACTTTCTGGTCTTTCCTCCCCTCCCCCAACGTCCCCCGCCTTCCTTCTCCTCGCGTCCCAGGCCCTGCGAGGCGGGGAAGCAGGTGTAAGTCCCGAGAGAACGGCAAGGGGCTTGGAGAACCGGGCTTACTGCCTCCCACGAACCCACCAGGGCTTCAGACGTAGCGCTTCCCGCAAACCCCCAGAACCTAAGCCCGAAAAGGAAAGCTGACGGGGAGCTGGGGGGGGAAGAGACAGAGGGAGCCCGGCGCCAGCCAATCCCCTGCTAGGGACCCGCCCCCTCCCGAGGCCTCTCGTGGATAGGGCAACTCTTGCCTTATCATTGGTTCTCGCTGCAGTCAATCAGAGTCCTAAGCGCCCGGCTGAGAGGAGCCGGGTGGGCCGGGCCAGGCGGGAGGGGTGGAGGGGAAGGGAGTAGGAGGAGAGGTGCTGTCACATGACAAGGAGCCGGGGCTGACGTGCAGAGTCCGCCAGTTCTCGAGTGTGGATCGCGGTGGGTTGTTGTGCCACAGGAAGCTAGAGACTGTCCCTTCCTTCCTCTGTTATTTAATCCTTTATTATGGCTTGCTGATGTAATTTATGTTTTCTGTCACGGCTATTTCCGGAAAGTATTTGAGCAGCTTCACAAGTTAAAACGTGGATTATAAATGGACTATTAAATGAAAAGTAGCTGGCTGTGTTCGCGTGCCTGGGGACCCCGGGGGTCTCCGGTCCAGGCGCCTCATCTTTAACAGGAGTGTGCACTAGATCTCTTCGGTCCCTCAGACTTAATTAAAGGCTGTGTAGTGCAACTCTAGGGTTGTATGATTAAAAAAAAAAGCTGAAAGGAGAAGAGAAGTCTATACTCCCTGGCTCCTGAGGTGAATTAATGAGCGAGGTGGAGCTTTTCCTTGAGCCCTGAGCTCCCTGACAGCCAAAGAGAAACCCCCTCCTCTCCCCCTTTTTCATTGATAGATAAAAGGAAGAATAGAAACTGGTCTGGAGAGACTGACTTTGACTTAGCCCTGCATCCTAAAAGGCGTCTAGTGTGGTGGCTGCATGGACAACGCAATGGTTTATTTTCAACGACGTTAAAAAAAAAAGTTCTAAACTCAAGCACGAAGTAAAACGAGCATTTCCATATGCTGAGTTGAATGGGAAAAGCAGATTACGCACGAAGCTGGGCATCTCTACCTACCAATTACGTTTCCTTTTAAGTCTATAATAAACTCAACACTTTAACTTTCAAAGCTGTTCTATTCCTTTGTTCAGTTGCATATTTCCAGAAATGTTGGTTAAGGAGACGCTTTTGATATAGATGCCTTATGAAAGATGAGGACATATGAAATCTTAACTCCCAGAAAGAATTTTTTTTAAGGGATCTAAAATGCTTTAGTCCAGGTAAGTAACTTTCTGAAGTTCTCGTTTAAATGGGATTAAGTGGGAAAAATTTGTAGCAAGGATTTTTAACCTTTTTTTTAAAATCACGAACCCCTCTGGCCATCTGAAGGGGAGGCAACCTTCCTCCTCTCAGAATAGTGCTCTTAAATGCATAAAATAAAAGACATTAGATTTCAGAGGAAATATACGGAAGTACAATTCTGAACATATTAAAAAAAATTTGTGGACCTCAGGTTAGGAAACTCCTGATAGAGGAATAGTTAACATGCCCATTAGGCTCTCTTTGTGATAGAGGGATAGTTAACATGCCCATTAGGCTCTCTTTGTGATAGAGGGATAGTTAACATGCCCATTAGGCTCTCTTTTTCACAAAGCTTGCGCTAGATCACAGTCTATTATTTCTGGTTGGATTATTTGAGCAACGCTTAAAAAGCCAACATTTGATGTTGTTGATTAAGTGTAGTGAGCCTGCTGTTGTGTGACTCCAAGCAAGTCATCTCACCACCTTCTGTACCTCATTTTCCCCATCTTGCTTTCATTTGAGCTATGAAATCCTAGGATTTAGAGCTGTAAGGAACCATGAAGATTACACGGTGCTCCATTTTTTTTTTGTTAAGGCAATTGGGGTTAAGTGACTTGCCCAGGGTCACACAGCTAGTAAGTGTCAAGCGTTTGGTCTGAGGCTGCATTTGAACTCAGGTCCTCCTGACATCAGGGCCAGTGCTCTATCCACTGAGCCACCTACCTGCCCCCTACTCGATTTTTATAAAACAAGAAATGAGGCACTTAGGTAGCATAATGTCATAGAATCTGGGACTTCTGAGTCATGAAGACCTGAGCTCGAATTCTTCCTGAGATACTAGCTTGCTTAACTTCATAAGTCACTGAACTTCTGCATGCCTCAGTTTTCTCAAAAAAGGATAATAATACCATCTATTTTACAGGGTTGTTATGAGGATCTAATTAGTTTACATCAATCAATAAGCATTTATGAAGTACTTACTATGTGCCAGGCACTGTGCTAAAACATTTATAAATATAAATCCTAGCTATTATTTTATGTGCAAAAGGCTTTATTGGTCCTTTTAAAAATTCAATTTAATTAGCCTTTGTTAATTATGATGGGCCACATACTGTGTACTATTCTGGGTGTACAAAGCATTCTGCTGAGAGTGTACAATATGTTCATAGAAAAAAAATGGAAAATAGCTAGGAAATATCTAGGAAATTGGGTCTTGGGGGTAAGGAATGCCAATAACTCAGGGGATCAGGCACTTGAGTTGATCCTTGAATGCAGCTAGAGACTCTAAGAGATAATAAAGTTAGAGCTGGAAAGGACTTTAAAAGTCACCTACTCCAGCCTCTTCATTTTACATATTAGTAAATGGAACACTAGGGAAACAGAGATTTGCTAGAGGTCACACAACCTCCAAAATCTTCATTAATAATCATAATAGCTAGCATTTATGTAGTGTTTTAGGGTTTGCAAAATGCTTTGCAAATATCTGATTTTATCCTCATAACAACCCTGGGGAAGGGATTAATGCTTTTCTTAATCTTCATTTTACAGATGAGGAAACTGAAGCACACAAGTTAAAGGACTTGCCCAGCTGACAAGTATATAAGGTCAGATTTGAACTCAAGTCTTCCTGACTCCAGGTTTGGCACTCTATCTGCTGTTATTTCATTATTCATTATTTCATCTATGGCAGTACTGCCTGGACCCAGTAATCTTCCTCTATGCCTTAATAGACAGATTCATGAGTTACTGTGTGTCCATCCTCAAAGAAGTCATTGCTGCGGGGCAGAGAAGTTGGATCAACATTTTGATGAAAAGCTTTCTCAAACAAAGCTGTATTGATTGTTAGATGACAGGTATTGTGAGGACTTATAGTCAAAACCTTTGCAATTTCATAGGACTTTATAGAACTCACACCCCACTGTCATAGTGTTTGAGGACGCGGGGTCACTTCTACATCAAAATGAGTTGTTAGAGGAAAACATCAATAGAGCTAAGACTTTGCCTGGATACTTTACCTTTTACATCACTCTTAGCACCTTTCCTCTGAGCTGAACTATCCAGATCATGTTTTCATATCTCCCCCATTAGACTGTGCATTTCCTGAGAGCAGGGACTTTTACCTTTCTTTCTATCACCAATGCTTGGCATGGTGCCTCCCTGGCACATAGTAAGTGTATAATAAGTACTGGTTGACTGACTGATGTCATACAAATGTTGGCTAGATATTGCAGTGGATAGAGCACTAGGCCTGGAGTTAGGAAGAACCTGAATGTAAGACTTGCTTCAGATACAAGCTTTGTGACCCTTAATAATAATAAAAAACATAATAAATATATTAAAGAAATAAACAATAATAAATGTTAGGCCCATTAGACATGCACCTAGATTAGACTCATCTTTCGGTCAGATCACTTAACCCGGTTTGCCTTAGTTTCCTTATCCATAAGATAAGCTTGAGAAGGAAATGACAAACTACTCTAATATTTTTGCCAAGAAAACCCCAAATGGGGTCATGGAGAGTCAGACACCATCGGAAAATGACTGAACAATGAAAATGTGCTAGGTGGGCCTTGTACTAAGCACTGGGGGTATGAAGGCAAATGTAGTCCCTCAAGGAGCTTTATACAGGAGAAATCGGAGATAATCTTAGAGGGAAGGCATTAACATTACAGAAGGCTGGGAAAGGCTTCTTGGAGAACATGGGATTTCAGCTGAGATGTGAAGAAAGTCAGAGAAGCCAGGATGGAGAGATGAGGAGTGAGAGCATTCCAGGCATGAAGAACAGTCACTGAAAATATGTGTCTGGAGATGGAGTGTCTTGTGCAAGGAACAGCAAGGAGGTCACTAGATCACACAGAGTGTGTGGAGGGAAGTGAGGAATAAGAAGAGTAGAAAGGTGGAAAGGACCAGGTCATGAAGGGCTTTAGAAGCCGAAGAGAAGAGGTTATGTTTGATCCTGGAGGTGATAGGGAGTCACTGGAATATATTTTGATTGCACGTGGGTGAGGGGATATTTTAGGAAGATCACTTTGTTAGCTGAGTGGAGAGTGGCCTGGAGTGGGAGAAAGCAGCAGGCTACTGCAGTAGTTCAGGTCAGGGGTGATGAGGGCAGTATCAGAGAGAAGGAGGTGTGTAGGAGAAATGCTGCAAAGGTGAAAACAACAGGTGAGAGAGAATGAGGAGTTAAGGATGACATTTAAGATGCTGGTATCCTTGTCAGTCATAGGGAAGTTAAGAATGGGAGTCGGTTTTGGGGAAAAGATAATGAGGTCAGTTTTGGACATGCTGAGCTTATGATGCCTATAGGACATCCAGTTCAAGGTGCTGAACAGGCAATTGGAGATGAGAGATGGAAGGTCAGGGGAGAGTGGTTAGGCTAGATGAATAGATCTGAGTCATCTTCATAGAGATTGTGACATAGTTCCTGGGTAATTAAGAATTTTATTAACAATACTAGCATTTTATTAATAAAAGTTATGATCATTTGTCTGTCTCTCTCAGCCCAAAAGACCCCTCATGGTGGTGGGCTCACAGCTTATATACCCTTGGAAGAGTGGGTGTTCCTGAGGGTGGCAATCAACTGATTGGTTAACAATTAATGAGAGGTGGGCTTTACAAAGAGAAGTGGGCTCACTCCAACGAGGGGCTGGGAGAGATATATCATGTCACTCTTGGACAAAGAGACTTTTTCTATACCCAGACCACCCCCAGCCTTGGGCTATCTAGACAAAGGATCTACTTCTACTTAACCTTGCTTGAGTGGAACTCTGTGGGCAGAAATTCACCTTAGATTATATGGTCTAGATGAGATAAATTTTTGGCAGAGGTCAGGT